CCCATAGTTGAAAAAGCATGTTACGCTCTGGTTTATGCTGTGCAGAGATAGAGACATTTTCTAGAGGGGGTAAGTATCGCATAATCAGCGATCATAGACCGCTCAAGTTCCTATTAAAAGCCGAAACGTTGCGAAATGCCAAGTTACAACGCTAGGTATTACTTTTATCACAGTTCCAGCTGACATTAGCATACAAACCTGGCGCCACGAACAAACAAGCAGACGCGCTATCGAGGCTAATGCCCGAAGGACAACTTTCCCTTTCGCGCAATGCCTCCACACAAACAATACAGTTACCACAAGCGAGCGTCGCTCACATTCAGCCTAAGCCATTAGCGCAGCAAACTGCAGAGACGGCAGCTATAAAATTACCCGCTGACCTTACAATAGACATGTTTAGAAACATGCAGAAAAAAGATGCGTTTCTGTTGCGAGTCAGGCAAGCGTTGACAACAGACAGGTGCACCCTACGGAATGCGCGGTTGGTTAGCGATTTTCTAAAAGAGGGTTTAGTATTTCATGTCAGCACGAATAATCTCGAATGCGGGGCACAATTAAAACTTCCACGCAGCCTAATTACCAAGGTTATGCCACTGTTTCACGACCACGTTTACTCAGGGCACTTAGGGGTTTCAAAGACACTTTTCAAAATTCAGCAAAGGTATCACTGGCCGCATATGTTTTCCGACGTGTATGAATATGTCAAGGCATGTGTTACTTGTTCAGCTCGTAAGATGCAAAGGATTCGCGCGGCAATGCAGCACGTGCCACAAACCACTCACGCAAATCAAGTAATCGCGATAGACATAATGGGGCCATCACCCATTACACGGGCAGGTAATCGGTATTGTCTGACTTTTATTGATTTGTTTTCGGCATGGCCTGAGGTATACACGATACCAAATAAATCATCAGCAACAGTTACAGGAGTCATTATTAACAAATTTAACCAACGGCATGGCTGCCCAGAACTATTTTTAACAGATAACGGCAAAGGATTCTTCAACTCGTTAATGACCGCACTAGAAAAAAAGAGTTAGGCGTTAAGCACGTTACAACGGCACCATACCACCCGGCTTTCAATGGGGTAGTGGAACGTTTTCACAGAACGTTGGGAAATTTAGTTTCGTGCTACATACGCGAGGACCATTCATCATGGGACACAAAGTTTGGAGCTTTACTATTTGCATATCGCACCTCTATACACAGAACAACGGGCTATACACCTTACTTCCTAAATCATGGGAAAGAAGCCAGATTACCGTTAGACGTGCTATTACATCCTCGCAGGGTCCAGTACGCAGATGACCCGATCTTACAGGCAACAGATAGACTATACCACGCCTGGACAGAAATACACGAAAATACACAATTAACCAGAGAGAGAAACAAGCAGTTATACGATAAACGAGCGAAGGAACAGAGATTTATGGTAGGCGAATCAGTATACTGGTACAGCCCAGTATTACGCCGAAATGAAACCGCCAAGCTACACTCTGCGTGGCGCCCATTTTACACAATCGTAGAGCAGGTCACTCCACTAGTAGTTAGAATAAAAAGACAGGACCAGACAGCCACACACAAGGTTCATGTAGATAACTTTTAAATAGCATATCAGGCAGACGCATGGACAAAACCACAAGGTGACAGAAACACTCAGACCGAACACACAGACCGAGATAAACACCCCAGGCACGCAAAGATGGTACACGGACGGCGGGTAAACAAATTCTAGCTGTCAAACGGGCCGTCAATAAATTCTACTGCACTCATTCCGACAGCAGTAGTCCCACTACACCTATCAGGGCCGTATCCAGGGGAGGTTATTTGGTTTCTGTAACCCCCCTCGGTTGATAAAAAAAGTACTAGTTTAAACCTAGTAACATGTTTGGACCTACAGTTGTTTACTCGGGTCTTACTCGGTTACATTGGGATCTATACAAATAAATGTATTGTGATACTAAGTGGGTATAACAGGTGTCAACTAGTCAAATTTAATGGGTAAAAGTAAATTTTTTGTGTAACCATTAAAATGTAATTATAACTTTTTTTAAGATAAAGACTCATTGATGGTTTGTAAACTACTGAAACACTCTACTACTGTAACAGTTTTAGTTAACATTATAATTTCAGCTCATTATCCTAGTATCTAGATTGGATGGATCACACCACGGAGATAATTAGTCATAATTCCCAACACCAGAGACGAGTTTGTTACAAATCTCATTTTATTTTATTGATGTTAATATTGTTATGGTGATATACACTGTCTTTTGTATGAATTCAACAAACAATTGAAGTGAACTAGATGCCAGGAAATAGCATCTAAGCATGTTAAAAAAAAAAAATTGGCCGGACTCTCCCCCCATTCACCGCTTCGCGGCTCGGGGCGAAGCTTCGCATCGCCATTTTGTAACCCCCTCTGCCCAACCTCTGGATACGGCCCTGCCTATATAAGGATACAGATTTAGATGTTTTATTTAACGATCTCGTAGCAGCGGTTGGACGGGGTAAGCAGATATCATCTCAGGGTGCTGCGTTTGATCATTGGGATAGATTGAATTATCATGTCAAAACCCACGACTCCGCAGCTTAAGGATAATAATTGTCGCAGAAATTGCACTAGTTTTCTATTTCCGGTGTTATAAGAAGGGTTTATGGCAGCGTTTCCGTCCCGCTATCCCTGTGTCGTTCAGAACGGGCGGGGGATTACAGCGAGCACCAGTTCGGCGTTACCCCACACCCATAGACACCGAACCCAAAATGGTCGAAATACCCTTACGTTCACTCTCTACCACCCCACCCCCATGCCAGGTCTCGCCAAACCAAACAGATCCTTTCGACGCACCCACCTTTTCACCCAATCGCGAGACGATATATAATAACTTGCACTATGTGATAACAATGGACCGATAATGACTATTTCACGACTCCTGCCTCGCGGCGATAGTTAACGATGCCATAGTACTGCAGTGGGCCTATATAGAGGCGACTACATCATGAGATAGCCAGTAATAACGCCATAGCAGATCAGTCATGCCGAGACGCGATAATTCATCGGGAAAAATAGCAAAGATGTTCTCATGATAAGACCTTCAAAGTATTCCAGAACTCACAACGGAAACGACAGCGACGAAGATGCCACTGAGAGAAGTCACCTACACGATGGAGGGGATTTACGGCACACACAGCACCGGGTTTCCTGAACCGGAACCGGACAGCGCAGCAGCCGCGCTACAGGGCCACTGGCTCAGCCAAGCTCAAGACGAGCAGGATCTCAAGTTCGTCGACGAGGACGAGCAGGAGGCCGGCCAGGACTGGGAAGCCCTCACGGATGTCATCAATTTCAGCGACTGTGACGCCGCCGCTGATTTCGGCGACTGGGAAGATGGCGTGCCGCACGTCTACGTTCCGCCACCGGCCCACCTACAATGGCAGTATTGGGAGAATTGACTGGAGATACCTCCCGCATACCTCCACCTCCCGGAAGACTCCTGGCTCACCTTTACTTGGACGGAGGAGGAGAGGGACCGCGCAGCCCACTGCCACGACGAGATGCGCCACCGAGGGGACGACGAGTACCCCGCCAATGTCCCCCTCGTGGAGCTGATCATAGACCAGGAAGGAGAACACGGTCCGGAAAAGTACGTCACGTTGTTCGGTCAATGCGGGGAGGCAATCAGACGCCTGACCCTGGCACAGTACGTGCACATAGTAGGCTGGTTTATCTACCGAGGTCTCGTAGGGCCAGCCATCTATCTTTCACGCGTGCCAGATTTCAAGAACCTGCCACAACCGCCCAGTTTGACAGCGGTAATAATTATTTGGGGGGCAATCCCACTGCCGCCACTAGGGATCAAGTTAAACGACACCTGGTGGATGGTGAACAGGCATGACGACTACGAAGAGTACATGCCTGAGGGGTTCGATCCATTTTCAAACAAACAGGGCTCTTTGTTAGAGGTATTATGTCTGGTTACGGGCATACGATCCAGACGATGAATACAATGACCCGGAAGACGTACAGTGATGATTATGATGTTATATACAATGATTGTGTTATCGCTTTTCGCGCATCCACGCCTTGTTTTTCCTGACCTCTCTGCATGATCCAAGATGGCTGCGCCCATGGACGTGCGCGCTTTCTATGTGCGGTCTATATTTGATCTTCTCTTTAGTCAATATATGGCTATTCCATCTATACTGTGAGTTCAATCTATCCATCCTGATCTAGTCTACTGCTTCTGTGAGTTATACACCCCCGAAATCTCCACACTAGCTATATCATGCGTCTCACTTTACGTGACAAACACAACAACAAACAAACACTATAATATTGAAATCGTACGCATTCCAGGGTTCTCACTGTGCACTGCAATTAAACTATATACCGCACCTTATACGTTCCAGGGAAAGAATTCTCACTTAGAGGCTGCGAGGGCGACAGCGTATCTGTCGAATGTCCGCCGGGGCATATAAATTCTGCGTTTACGGCAACGTACGGTTACCCGGGTAAGCCCGAGGTCGACCCGACAAACATCAACTTCTCGTGCTTGAATAACCCCGTGATTTTTGACCTGTCTAAATGCCCCGTCGAGTACGTTACGTCCCCGGGTTACGTCTACCTTTTGTGCTGATTGCTTAAATGCTAGTGCTGATTGCTTAGAAGTTAGTGCTGATTGCTTAAATGCTAGTGCTGATCGCTTAGGGATAAATGTCTGTTCTATAGAGTTTTCCAACGTCCTCATTACGCCTGAAATGGCCTGTTCCATGTGTGAATGGTGCGTCAGTCGCGCGAGTGAATTTTACGTGTTCAGTACTAGCCGACCAGATCTATAGCATTATTTTTTAAGGCCCAGTACGCTCTCATCTGCTCGCTAGTGGACGCGGTCGAGATGACATCGACAAACGTAGCCACTGTTTTTGATGCCATATTTAGTGACCTGACATCATGGAGCAAGAATTCGAAACTCGCCGAGTATTTTTAATTAATTTCTGTGTAGTGCTTATTCAGGCCTGCTGCCTATAGACGCCCTCTACTGTGGCACAACACCAAAAATACTGACCTTTCTCTATCACAAGACGTCATTGCAGAGCCGAGCCCTACATGATATTTGGCCCTGCCTCTGCTCTCAAATTCACTCAAACTCATTCGTGTAGATGCAGAGTGCGTGTGTGCTGCTCAACCCTATCTGCTACTGGTCCGAACTGGACTAGACCGTGTGGTAGCAATTAACCCGTCCACTGGAAACGAAGCACCGTTTTCAGGGGTGCGTAGCGATTGCACAAACACCGTCATGGTGTAACCTAGGAGGATGCGAGCGGGAATGGACAACTGTTATATAATAGACCGCTGGTCAGCCGGAGCGTACGGACATGGCACGACTGACCTACAGTAAAAACCCGCGTATAAGAACATAGATTTTTCCAAGTTAGCCTCAACATGTTCTTATATAAATGGTGCTTACTGAAAAATTAGGCTCAAAAGGTTCTTAAATAGGTTCTTAATTGTTTCTCCTTTTAATATGTACTAGTTAGCTGAAACCTACCTGAACTGTGTAAGGTGTTATATGGAGAGTTTAGTTGTTGCACATGTTTGTTTTTTTATGGTTGAGATGTCAATACAAATACATGTATTTTCAGGCTGAATGTGTTCTTATGTATATGCAATTTTTTGACCGCATTTCAGCCTAATCGCAGTGTTCTTAATCGACGTGTTCTTTTATGCGGGTTTTTACTGTATATGTAAATAATGCAGTACTGTGTCTCAATAACAATGCCAGGGTGCTGGCATTGTTATTGTTGAGCATTGGCATTGGCATTGGCATTGGCATTGTTATTGCATCAATATTGTTGAGCTCGTCTGTTTTATTTTACCTGTGTTTCTTTTTAAGTCTTCATCTGCATGGAAAATTAAGAACCTACTTTAAAATCTCAGCCTAAAACAGGTTCTTATGTAAAGGGGTCTAAATGGGAAATTTTAGCCTAACATGTTCTTAAAATCTATGTTCTTATACGCGGGTTTTTACTGTAGTGGAAGAGAAATAAAGGAAGGGTAATAATAGTCAAGGGGGGAGAAAGCAGGTACACCCTTTGACCGAAAAGCAGAGGTCACGCGCGGACGCTGGGTAAGATAAATAAGCAGAGATTTAAGAGAGAAGAGATATAGTGTGCTGGGACCAGTCAAGACAAAGCTGAACAGACTCCTCCGACCAGATGGCGTTCACGTAAATATGGTTACTTCTTTGTATGATAGTTAGAAACGTTGATAGTTTAGATCGTTGATACTGCGAGTGAGAATGATCGCGGCATTACAGTAATGCGGTTAGGGAATGTAGGTTAACGTGGTTATAAGTATATGTGTCGCGGAGTTAAGGAGTTTGTCATACCGCGGTTATATTTCCGTTGTCGGGATGCAACAGATTAAGCGAGTGGTAATGTTAACGAAGGTAGAGACAGCGCTTGTAGGCAAGCGTCAGGTAGTTTACTAAAATGAAGAATTTGTAACCAATGTGGTGTCAGGATTGTATCGTGCGGTGATTGGAGGGGAGTTATTAATAAATATTATTCATGCGTGTATTATCTAAATTCCTGCGTTCAGTTGTCTATCAGTGGCTGTATTTTATATCCTCGAGCTGGGTCATTCCTTCACAAGGTACTAATTATGAATAAGAACCCGCCGTCGCGCATGGGCTTTAATAAAGAAGCACGCGGTGACAATGGGTTTAGGTAGAGCACGACGACTGCAGACGCCTCCAATGTTCACACTATCATAAAACCTCAAATGGCTTTCTTAGATTAGTTCTCAACTAATCCCACTTGGTATGCAACAGCAACTACAAATGGATCTACTAAAGTTACATGATCAGAATATTGAAAAACAGCAACTACGAGACATTTTATTGTATTATTTCTGAAATTTTTCTTTATTTAAAGATAGGAAAATGGGTTTAAAAGGATTACAGGCACTGTATATGATGTACTAATCAACACATTGTTGTTAATCATACTTTCGAATATTACTCTAAATAATTTACTCTCCAAAATGTGCACAAAACCGTTAAGCAATTCATCAAAAACTAACATATGTTGTTTATTCATAAAAGTTGTCAATGCAGGCAGATTTCTAACACATGCTTAGACTTCTTTACATCCTGACTATAAATTGGGAAATTTCGTCTCGTGTGTGTCCGCTATAGGTTTCCGCACGCGCTAACGATCTCTCCAAACTGTCGACATTCTTACAGCATAATGAACGAAGTTGCATAGGCAATATTAGAGTTCTTTCTTTGCTTTTTTTTTTATCTTAGTGTGATAAGTTCTGACCACCTAACGGGCATCGACTAGTACTTGTAAAAAGCTTTTAATGAATTTTTATCATATAATCATCGCCTCACTCAAATTATTACGTCTATTATTTCATTACATACATATACATCTATAATAATTCCAAGCAATGCGCCCGACATCGCACCCATCGTTTAATGACTCTAAAATTAACTCCTGTTATAGGTTAGTTTCATCACAACGTCCACTTGACCTATCAGCTTCCATGCCATTCAGCGACATTAGGAATGCCAGTCAATGCCCTCTCTTGCTTAAAAAATTGAAAAAAAAGAACAGTTAACTAATTAATTTGCATAAATACAGAAACACATCTAAGAAATGATTTAGTACGCACTTACAGTTAAATCGTATAGTTTCCCACTAACAGTTAGACAATGTCATGCATTGCATTCATTACCCAAATCAACACTAACCAACTTTAGTCACACACACAAATCTTAGCCGCTCATAGTCCAGTAAGTGACTTCACCTGACCCTCAGCTTTGACTGTAAAGTCTTTAGTCATTATTGCTGCTTCCTGTACACCCGCATTCCTTCCCCGTTCCAGATTTGTCCAGCCTCTCCCTCCTGCCAGTAAGTGGCCAGAAATTGACATGGCCTTTATATCTGCCTCGTTCTTAAGCAAAACACTGAACAAACGAATCAAATTTTGGCTGCCAGTAGTCCGCAATCCCAGGAAAGTATTTGTATGTATATAAATTAACGTATAAATAATCCAAGAAAAAAGTACGTAAATAGCATTTGTGTCATAAAAGAATACTATTGTTACAAACAATCCTCTGTCGCTCGTCAAGGTCACGTCTTTCTCGTAGTTCGCAGTCCACGCTTCCTCGGCCGCGTTCAACCGGTCCTTCACTCTTTATAATACCGACATCTCTCGTCGTCATCACAGCCCAGTTCTATCCTACTCCACTCACGCAATCACAACACCACTCTCTCCCTATTCGAATATCTGCGCGGGAAGACCATATGTCGAAACAATCTGATACCTAACATCGTGTAAAGAACGCCG